TTTGTGATTTTCAGTGACCGGCACTAGGGTTGATGAACAGGTGCATATTATTGTGATCTTATAAAATACAAGCACATCTTTTTTCCCCTTTTCTGTAGTGTTCTCACGTTTTCCCTCTTAAATATTTTGTTATTTTACAGACAATTGATAAACTGATAGAGACTGGGGACAGTGAGCAGATCTTTCGGAAAGCAATCCAAGAACAAGGCCGTGGACAGGTACATTCTGCTTTCATACGCATTTTACAATTTACATAACAAGATCATAAATTCATGTTATGTCGATTTTTTCATTCTGTTATGCGTACCTTATCACATTTGTTGTTCTTATTACAGGTGTTGGATACTCTAGCAGAAATCCAAGAACGACATGATGCAGTTAGAGATCTAGAGAAAAAGCTTCTCGATTTGCAACAGGTATGGTTAAACTATTTTTTGGCTCCTCTTTGATATTTCAAATTTCTGTTAGTTTCAGTTTTATAATAGCTAGCTGACACGAAATCAGTTAGTTCTCATTTTATCTTTTTACTCTAATTCTTTTTCTTATTTATTTATATTTACTTTTGCCCTTTTCCGTTGGTGTAGATATTCTTGGATATAGCAGTACTGGTGGATGCTCAAGGGGACATGCTCGATAACATAGAATCACAGGTAAACTGAAACTTCAGTTTTTACATCGTTTGCGAAAAAAAGTTTCCTCACAAGAATTCTGTATTTTATTCTCAGGTTTCAAAAGCTGTAGATCATGTGCAGAGAGGCACCAACACTCTTCAGAAGGCTAAGAGTCTGCAGAAGAACTCCAGAAAATGGATGTGCCTTGCAATTTTCATTTTTCTAATTATTGTTGCTGTCATGGTTGTTAATGTCCTCAAGCCATGGCAGAACAAAAATGGTGCTTAGCTCTTAACAACTACTGTTATTTATGATCATATAAACACAATTGTTTCACTTACTTTTATTTTTCCTTTTGGGAAATATACTATATTGCTTCAGCATTCAGGACTTTGGTGTTGATTAAATGTATGCATTTACAACTACTGATGAGTATTTTGTGCAGTAGAATTTTAGGTGAACTCTCATATACTTCATATACAGTTATATTTTCCAGAATCTGGACTAGCATTCTCATACAGTACTTCAAGAACCCATTTAATAGTTGTTGAACATCAGCTGTTATCGAAAAATAAATTAATTAATAAAAGTAAAAAATATATATATATATAAAGCAAAAAAATAACTTCCCATATTCCCTAAAACGCGATAATCTAATAGATTGAGCACCACTAAAGACCTAAAGTATAACAAGTCTTGAAGAACGTCTCCTAAGCCACAATTCATACATTACCAAGTAAAAAGCATCGTAATCGACAGGCGAAAGGTGCCACTGAAAATGCTTTCTCGTTTTCAACACATTATTCCATAAAATCGAATATTCTCTCTCGCTTATTCCTTTGAGGATTTTCTTCAGAAGAGGAATATCCAATGTGGCAACAACAATCGAAAAATTGCACCAGTCAAGTATATCCTGAAAAGGGAGGTCATAGTGGTTGGCAATAATTACAGGGACACAACCGTAATATATCGTGTCACCTATACGGGCCGTGTTGACCTCAAAACCTTTGACATGAAGGCAAAACTTGCTTCTGAGAAGCTCCTCAGAGTAAGATGTTCGAAGGTGATCAAGGTGGATCGATATTTCCGAATCATTTCCCCATTTCTGAAGAAGCTTTTCACGGACGGGCGAGTTTCTTGATCCCGCAAAAAAGGCTAGCTTTGATCTGAAATTCATCCCCCAAAAATAATAAGCATAAATGAAAAGTAATAATATTGAAAGCTAATATAGATCTTTAGCCGCACAAGAAATCCATTCATAATCAATCTACTTTTTTCTCAAAATAAAAATATAAGGTACTTAGAAAAGTAAGCTTGTAGCAAAATGTTTTCTGCAGTACTACCATTACCACAACAACACAATCTTGAAATTAAATGAAAGATCAAAATTAAATAAATAAATACGCAGCGTACTCATGAATTTAATCTTTTGTACCTTCTCACTGGACATTATAGAATTGCCTGTCTCATACATTTATGCTAAAAGTGCAAAACTTTCCAAAAAACACCGTAAAACAACTATTTACATTGCTATGAAGTATGACATGACACAACAACAAGTAAATAATTCGTACCTTGCATTCATAAAAAGCTTAAACAATTGAGAAATGGAATCGAACCTAAAACCCTAAAAGCTAAAACACACCTTGCATTCATGAGATTCGGAGGATTCCCTCGTCTGGGCCATATTTGCGGCAAAGATGCATCCTTATGAGCGACATAAGAAGATAAATAATAGCTTGACGAGCACACAACTTGGATTGCATTCAGCTTAACCTTAGCAGCTTTCTCCATTGCCAACCGGCCAATCGAGTGGCAAGCAACGTAAAAATGATCTGCCCCTCCACTGTTATTCCAAAACGGGTACTCACGGCTAATGTTGACCACATAATCCCTGATAAAGTCCTGAATGCCATCTGTCCCTACCCGCGGGTCATGCCTCAACCTTGCGATGGAAAAGGGCAGGAAGAAGAGATCTGCCGTGGTTGGGTCCGCTGTAAGGAAGTGGCTGCCAAAAAGGGCCTTCTTGAAGTAGCTTTCGCTTGCATAGTTACCGCTTGGCTCGAAATCCACGGGCAAGAGGATGTTGGCAAATGGGTCGTCTTTTCTGTGCGGGTACACGTAAATTTTTAAGCTTCGGTTCATCTGCTTGTAGTTTTGGAAGAAGGTGTGGCTGTCATGGAACGGCCCCTTGTTGTCGGAATAAATTCCGGAACCTTGAGATGGAAAATTAATAAATTTCCCAAATATATTTTGAGAAAAGACATGAATTGGCTCTATAGTATATAAAAAAAAAAAAAAAATAGGCACCATTTTTGTAGTTTGCATAAATGAATCAGGTATGAAATGAAGATGACAAATACAAGATTAAGTTCCTAGGCAATGGTCTTCATATGAGTGCTGGGATTTTACATTGTAATCCAGTAAGAGGCTTATCATCATAAGAACACATCGAATTAATACCAACAATTGCTCCTCCACTTTTTCAAATGACATCTCGGGCCAATATGCAACCAATTACCTATTTTAGACAAACATAAATACTGATCCATATGAAAATCAGGAAAGAACAAAGTGTACACGCACTGCAGAGAACTTCGACTATGAGCAGATAATGAATTACAGCTCCAATAAAAGTGCAAAAAACAGAGTACATTTGCGTTCTCAAATAACAGCCTACCATTAACAGGAGTAACAAGAGAAGTATCATAAACAGAAGGGAAATTAAAGGAAAAACGATTGAACAAGAATCACATACCGTGACAACCCATCTGAAGTCTGAAATCACTCTGACCCTCAGCCCCGACCGGGACACCATTGACAGTCGAAATACGAGAAAACTCTCCGCCAGTAACGAATGTAGAATGGTTACGGGAGATATTCACAGAGGGCATTTCATGATTAATGAAAGTACCATTGGTGGGTTGGGTTAGGTGGAGAGAATGGTGCTGGTGAGTGAAGAATAGATTAGAGGTGGAGGAGATGTAGAGTAGAATGAGGAGAGAGGACGCGAGGGCTAGGGTTGTGGGCATGAGGAAGAATACAGACTTGAGAGTCGGCGCGGGGTGGTTCGAGTCGCGGCGGCGCGAGAGCAGATTGTGCAGAAGGTCGAGTGAGCCAGCTGCCATTGTTGTGGTTGATTGATCACGCTTGCGGGAGGTTGCTAGGGGCACTTATTAAATGAACTGGGCACAGTGGAGTCACGCCACTTCCATGTTACTAGTGCATGCACAATTTTAAGGTTATTTATTCAGGCTTATAATTATATAAATGAATAAAGATACGGGATATATATAGTATGTGATCCGTGAATAAAGATACGGGATATATATAGTATGTGATCCGTGCGAAGCACGGGATATATTTATTTAAGGAATATTTTATAATAGTATGTGATCCGTGCGAAGCACGGGATATATTTATTTAAGGAATATTATATTATAAAATGCAACATTAAATATTATATTATAATTGTACAATAAGATAGTATTGGACAAATTTATTTAAAGAATATTATATTATAAGATGCAATATTAAATATTATATTATAATTGTACAATAAGATAATATTGGACAAAGAATCAATCATATATTTATTCTTACAACTCGAACTTTAAACTTAGGTCTATTAGACCTATTAACTTGTTTGATTAAGTCAAATCCTTGATTCATTGTTTTGAATGAAAGACTGATTGGGGATATTTTTTTCATAGGAGATTGAAAGTGAGGAAGACGATGGCTCAATATTTTGAAATTTATAGTTTATAATTGGTAGAGTAGAATCAATATCTGTTAAGATTTTTAAGATAAAATTTTGATATACGGAAATCACATTATATGTAGAGGAATAAAGCAGATCAGATTTTTCATACAATTAGATAAGATTTTTTGTACAAAGATAAAAAGGAATTTTAAATCTACACAAACTATAAATATTAGATGTATTGATTTACGTAAATCAATATTTATATAAACAACCAAACCCTTCAATTTAGGCTTGACATCTGATTTGTTTTTGGTAAAATCAAGATTTTATCTTCCGATCAAATCTGCCTTTTTTTTGTTTTACGTACATTTTTTTTGTACCGATTTTATGAGAATAAAAATTAAATAAAAATTAATTGATGGAAATAGAATGCATTAATTATCTTTGACTTTCTTCTTACTAATTCTAGTAAATGGGATGGCTCTTTACATAAGTATAGATTATATCACAAAATATAATAAATATAGTTATTTATTCAAGCAAAAAATTATTGGCACCCAAGCTTTATTCATTTTTCTTTGTTTTTTTACTCAAAATTTTCACTTAATCAGTTTTGGACTTTTGGTACCCAACGCTTCGTCTGTTAGCCAATTTTTGATAAAACCGATAATTTTTTCGTCCAAATCTAACGGAGCAAATAAAAAGGCCAGTGAAAACAGAATATGTGGCTCGAATAAAAATCAAAAAAATTGAAAAAAGTGGCAACATTGAAGCTCGAACTAACAAATAAAAAAAATAAAAAAAAAATAAACTCAAAATCTTAAACTGATAAAGAGCCGTTGTAGCTTATGAAAAGAAGAACAAAACAAGATATGTAGCGCCATATACGTCGTTGACGTCGGTAGTAACATATCGGAATGACCCCCGTTGGGCAAGGAACTGATGGTCGTTCAACAAAGTATGAAAATCCAAGGGTTGCTAACAGGGGCGGAGCCACCCATGGCTAGGGTGGGCTCCAGCCCCATGTCCAAAACAAATTGCTAATTTAATTTTGTAAAAATTTTGTATATAGCCCATGTAATTTTTTATTTAGCCTCATCTATTTTTAGTTGAATTCTTCAAGATTCAGGTCGAATTTGTTCATCTGACAGAAATAGTGAAAAAGTGATGATCGTAGTGAGAGAAAAGAAGACAATGCTTTATTGTCAAATGACAATGGCGCCTTGATTAGATTTTTACCAATTGAGTTTATAATGTGGCCCAACACTCTCTTGCCTTTTAAATTCTTAATGGGCCGACTTAGCAAGTACCAAATGAACTGGAGCTTGACACACACTTCTCATGCGGGCTATTTAATTAGGCTCGTCTCATTGCACAATCCATTAACCATTTTCGTTTGGTTTTTGTTGAATTCACCTCCAATAATTAATTTAGCCTCATTTTCTAGACAAAGAAAAAACTCTTACAGAATTGATTGAAAACATGTTCGACTCCATTTGTTTGATTGACAAGTTCAATTAGCTATTTGAGTTTGCCTTGTTTAAATATATAAACGAGTCGAGATTGAGTTTTCACAATTCGAACCGAAATATGTTAACATATAATTCGGTTCTAGTCGTGGACAAAACCAGTTTCGGGTTGAAACCGTCGGTCCCGGGCTGAGGGTTGGAGGGCTCTGAACTGACCGGAATATATGCATGGGCCGGTTCATTGAACAGTCGATCCTTGGCCGCACGGTTCATTAAATAAAATAAAAAATAATTAAAAAATAATTTTTTTAAAAAAAAAGTCAAAGCTTCAGTTCCGGTTCCAATTCGGAACCGAAACTGCCGATACAAAATGTATAAACTATAAAGTATTGAACATGAACCGGATTGGTCAAAACCACAGGCCGGTTCAAGACCTATGGCCAACTGGCCGGTTGTGTTGGTTCGGGCTGAACCGACGGTCCGGGTCACCATGTCTACTCGGTTCCAATAATAGCTACAATAATATGCAGCCAGAGGTTGAATTTTATTTTTTTTTTCTAATTGCGCCCCTAATTGCTAGTAGTCTAGGGCATCGATAAGCAACAAGGCAACCCGGTGGTAGATAGACCTCATGAACAGGCCGAGGGATAAATTCTGAACACAGAAATGGAAACATAAAAAATAATAACAAAAGACATCCAAAACAACAGTTTATAAAACATTGAGAAACACCTTGAAGGCTACTTTTGATCTCAATTAAATGAAAGTGTTGGAATATCACTTGTGAGTTGTCCCACATTAATTCTATAGGGAAAATGAGCCTAGTATATAAGTCTAATGGTTTACTCCTCCCATCACCAATTGGTTTTGGGATGGAACCTCACTATGGTGCAACTAGACTCACCCTCTTATGGTGTGCTTCATCTGATGGGACTGCACTCTCTTCCTCTGATTCTATAAATCTAATAGAAAGTCATTCGTACTGAAAAATGACTTTGTTTAATTTTTTATTAGCTAGGTAGCCACAAAATTGCAGCAAGATATAAATTTGTATGGACATATATACATCTATGTATTTACATTTGCTCAAGAAAGTGTAGATTGAGGATAGCCCATAAAAGAAATCAAGACAACATCCTAATCCTACTCCTCCTTAGCCACAGCTGATACATGACCATGTGAAAGGCGTCGTAATCAACCGGCACATGATGCCACTGGAAATGCTCCCTAACTCTCATCACATTCCCCTGCATCCCCACATACTCCTTCTCCTCCTCCTCCTCAAGTATCCTCTTTAGGTACGGTATATCTTCCTCCGCCACAACAACCGAGAACCGCGACCAGTCGAGAACTTCCCCAAACGGGAGCTCATAATGGTCGGCCACCACTACAGGAACACACCCATAGTAGATAGCATCCGCCACTCGTGCCGTGTTCACTTCAAACCCCTTTGCGTGTATGCAGTATTTGCTCCCCATTAGAGCCTCCGAGTACGCGCTCTTCACCCGCTCCTCGTGGACCGAGATTTTCGAGTCATTCCCCCACGCGCTCACCAGAGACTTTCGCACCCGCGAGTTCATGGACCCCGCGTAGAACCCCAGCTTTTTCCTGCATTCAGAAATTTTACAGAAAAACACATAATTACAACTAGAAAACAGCCAAACAACTTAATAAAGCAGCTCTAGAGCCCAATCTAGTCAAGGACGATCTTTATTAGGCCCGGGCCGGGCTGAAGCCCAGGCCCATTATTTTTTTTAACAACTATTAGTTTGAAAAAAAAAATTATTGTATTTCTAACCCAGTCCAATAAATCAACCTATTAACCCATCAAAATAAATCGCTTATCTGTTAGTCCAAATACTATCCCTAATAAAATATTATATATTGTTGATCAACCATTTTCACTAGACATTAACTCACAAAACACCACTATACACCAAAGTTCAATCAAATAAATTAGTCATGGTCATGCCCCTCCTCTGAACACCAGAACATTGAATTTAGAAGAGCCAAAAAAAAAATATATATTCAACAAGAAAGTGACTACTTTCAAGAAGACGATTTAATTTCTTCTTGAATAGTAAGTTATATATATTTTAAACCCTTATTAGATATTTGTTTTATTTGTCTAATTATTTTAACCTATCTTCTCATTTTAGTTGAGCTATAGTAATTTCTAAGATCATTTGATTGTGTATGAATTAGTAATTGTGTAATTGGATGAAAAATTATGATGTGTAGGCATTTTATTTTGGTAATGACTATGTCATATGAAAAATCTATTTATTTGTAATGTGGAATTTTTAGAAATCCACTTGGAACACCAACTTTCGGCCAAGAAAGGAAAAAATTTATTGATATTATTGTTCTTTAAAAAACTTGATCGACGTAAAATTAGCGAAAACACATCAAATATGGTGCAAAATAAGCATAATGATTTTTTTGTAAAAGCTCATCGAGCGCAGCTTCATTAAATATTTGAAGAAAAATATTATGTAATTTTTATGAAAATAAGTTTTAAAAATTCTAGCCCAGTCTATTCTTAATTTCTGGATCCGTCCCTGAATCTAGTTGTGGGAGGACAAATACAAAGATCGCCTAAACAAACCTTTTAGATAAGGAACGAGTCGGAGCAAAATCGTTATTCCTCGGCCAAATCTGCGGAATAGACACATCCTTATGAGCGACGTATCCCGACAAAAAATAGCTCGACGAGCACACCACTTGAATCGCGTTCAATCTCACTTCAACGGCTTTCTCCATGGCCGAGCGCCCGATCGAATGACACGCGACGTAAAAGTGGTCGGCCCCACGCGTGCGGTTCCAGAAAGGGTACTTTCGACTTATGTTCGAAATGTAGTCCTTAATAAAATCTTGAATACCGGCGACACCGACACGCGGGTCCTGCCTCAAGCTCGCGATCGAGAATGGGAGGTAAAAGAGGTCGGCTTGCGAGGGGTCGTTTGTGAGGAAATTGCTCTTGAAGAGACCCTTTTTGAAGTAGCTTTCGCTTGCGTAGTTCCCGCTGGGAATTGAGTCCTCCGGCAAAAGCACGTTTGCGAAGGGGTCGTTTTTTTCGTGTGGGTATGCGTAGATTTTGAAGCTCTTTTTCATCTGATTGTAGTCTTCCGTGAAGAGGGTCCGGTCGTGAAAGACATCGCCGTTTTCCTTATTTTCGTCTGCAAGTGGTGAATTTTTCTTGATCAAGTGGTTTGTGCGATTATGAAATGGGAAAAACAGGACATGGGCTATCTTTTTTTTTTTTTAAATAATCAAAGAAAGAAAAAGAAATGTGACATTTTGTGAAAATTGACATGCATGGTGGAATTTGGGTGACTTACTTATTTTGCAATAATTTATATATTATATGCAAGGAAAAAGGGAAGATTTTCTACTGCGGCGGGCGGTTTTATTTCCTGATCAAAGGTGAATATTAAACAAATTCAAAGTTAAGAATAACACACGTTACTGAATTTTCTTGACTGCACATTTTTGGCCTCCTCTGTTATGATTATTAAAAGTGCACTTGAGGTCCAGAACTAGGAATGTTCCTTTAAAAAAAAAATAAAAAATTAAGGTTTGATTCACCTTAAACTTTGAGGGTATAGTTGTAATAATATTAATACAAGCGTGCAGAGAATTTCTTGAAAAAATTACTAGTTGGAGTCGAGATTTTGAGGGTATTTTCGTGTTTGGAAACTGCTCAAGATTTTATGGCGAATAACACAAATAACACTTATATTATCCTTAAATAAGCAAAGAATTGTAATGCAAGGCTTCGAGAGAACATGATCATTGACCAACTTAAAATTATGAAAATGTTGCAATTACTAGCTAAATGTAACCAAGATTGTTTTCTTTAGCACTAAATTAATTTACTTACCAAATGGCCCAACTTTTACATTCTCTGCCATCCCGAGTTCTCCAACGCCGATTTCTTTCTCATGTAATTTGCCACGTTCTTGAGATGTAACAGAATGATTCCTAACCTGTCGCGTATTCACACTTCTTACTATCAGTTGAGGGCTAATTTTCAAGTACTCAAGAGGTGGATTCGCATTAGGCCGCGTTTGGCTCAAACCAATATGCAGTCTTGATGTGGACGACAAAAAGAAGAAAACCGAGCTCACAAAAGCCAGAAAGACGGGCAAAAGGAACAAGCCTTTGCGTGAGTCCTTCAAAAGACGGTGAGAAAAGAACATGAGGTGACTAGCTGAAGAAGCCGCCATGGATGGTTAGACTCAAATGGAGAATATTTTTCAGGTTATATATAAAAAACAGACAAACTGAATGAGGTTTTTTGCTGGTAGAATAGTCTTAACATGAGTGAATGCAAGTTGGTGGGGTATTTTGGCTATTTCTTGAGAAGCTTTCAGTAGTTTAAAGCATACGTCATTGGGAAGGAGTGTTAATAGAATTGTATTATACTTTGAAGGTTGACAAAGTATGGAGAAAAATATTAGTTATCTTGGATTAATCTTCAAACATGTATAAATAATTAATTTATTTATTGGGGTTATGTTTTTGGGGTTTGATGAAGAGTGACTCAACATAGCAAACGGTATATGGATAATTTGATGAATGTTTGATAATTTTTCCAACATGTAAAGATGTATAAAAAAATATCCCGAAAACGAATGTCAATGGATTAAATATATTAAAATTGGTTAGTTTCTTATAATAATGATATTTTACCATAAGAGGTGTTTTAGCTTAAAAAATATGCCCGACAATTTTGGCAGTGGACTACTGGAATGTTATTTTTCTAGAGTGTTTTATATATTAATCTAACACCAAGCCTTAACACGCCTTGCTTAGTTTATAGACTGATCTTGTTTTGTTTGATAATTGAAATTGACCATTTTTTGTTTATTTATTTATTTATTTATTTATTATTTTTTAATTTTTTATTTTTTGAGACAAGGCTCAATCTCGACATCTGCAAATATAGAGATTATAATATTTTTGCAGTTAATCATAACAGTTTTTAACTTGTCAATTTGTCATTGCTTGATCTCCAAGCGCGTGGCTTGAGAAGTACTTAGAAGGAAGCGGACAATTAAAAGTAATAAGAAAGCCAAACAAAACCTATTATCCAGAGTCTACTGTGATTACTTGCAGTAGGTCCTGTCGTGAAGGGAAGATAGAGTGGCCAAAAAAATTGCTATTGAAAAAGTGTGATTTATCGTGCCACAAGTAGAAAGTAACTNNNAAAATAAATCGAAATACTTAAAAACATGATGGTAAATGTTGTTACCAAAATGAGACGCTCATGAATTTGGCAGGCAGTTCGTTTATTTAACTTGTCGAGTTAATGTTCGAAAATAATTTTTTTTATATAATTTTCTATATTTCAACTTGTTAAGGCTCGATTTAGATTCGTTAAAGATTCTAGCTAGGCTCGTTAATATTGATAAATGAGCCAAGTTTAAGCTCGGTTATCAGAAGCTTGAACTTGACTCACTTTCTAATGACGATACATTTATACAAAACTTCCACCGAAGCATTTCCATGGAACCATAACCGATATACATTTATACAAAACTTTTACCCAGCACTTGCAATGGACCGTTAAAACTTCTACCCAAACACATGCAATGGAACTGTAAACAGTCAACTGAAACCTAATCCACAAAACGGTTTAACAAAATACTTGACATCTGATGAAAAGACAACGTGTTTTTACCCTTATTAACTTACTTCAAGTCTTTGTCGCATCAAACGGAAGGAAATCCAGTTAGGGTCTATACAACAAAGAGAGATAACATGGTACAGTCTACGTACCTTGCTACATAACCTTATTCATCGAACACCAAAATATTATTTTATTTCTGGATTTATTTATTTACTTACTTATTTATTTCTAATCAGTCATGAGCCTGTTTGGGAGGCGGCTTCACGATGAGAACGGGGCAATGGACATGATGCACACAATAATTGCTCACACTTCCCAGCAATGCCCTGCAACAAACAATTCATCATTTATCGATTCACCAATGCTTTGGTCGCCAAAAGTCTTGATACATTTTTCACTTTCTTGCTGGAAATTAAGAATTCAAAATACATACCAACTCTATTACAATCACACAGAACCCATATAAAAAGATGCTAATATCAATAGAAAATTGGTTATTCTCACATTAAGCCAATGTTGAATGTACTATCATTCTTGACATGAAAACCTATATTTTCTAAGATTCATTTCCAATAATCAGATGAACATCAGTGAAAACCAAAGGTACAAATATATTGCCCACACTCATCATATGTGTAAAGCATGAGTTTCAATATGATTCAACATTAATGTTTAGGTACGTACGTACCTTTTAATCGTACCAAGCCCACGACTACCAACAACTAGAAGATCAACTCCCAATTCCTCGGCTGCTTGACATATCTTATCCTTCGGATCACCTTGAAGAATCAGAGTTTCTGCCTTCACCTGAAACAGGACATATCATAAATCATTAATCACCAAATAAATTTTGTATCATAAATAATATTTCCAATCATCTTAATAAGTTCACCCTTTTTTTCCCATAGATGGTAAGATTATGTAGTTCAACTTCTCAAAAATGATTACTAGCCTCTCTTACTTTAACTAAATGGATCAAAGAAATTCTAGTGATCCACATGATACATGTCCAAAATGATTAGTGAGCCGACTTAGCCACTCTCAGTACCAAACCTCTAAAGCTTATAAATATATATATATATATATATATATCGTAATTTTATCCATTCCATTAATTGATTAATGGGGGCATCTAAACAAATAAAGTCACCTTCTTTTCTTTGCAGATGTGCAAGGCACGGGAGAGTATGTTGGTAGCATTTTCTTCTTGGGCTTTCTTCACGGACTCAATCACCATGGGAGTTGCATACACAACTACCGAATATGCAGAGATAGCAAGAAAATTAAAACAAATTAACAAAATGGCTGTCTAACATGAAAATCCTTGATATAGCCAATGAAATTCAGGGAAAACATATAAATAAAGTACACTCTAAAGAATCGACTTCATATTATTACACTTTATTCGCAATTCCTCTATCTTAAATTTTCGATTTTTGTAAAATCGGCCAAAGTTGTATAAACAATCTTACTTACACGACTATAACTACATGATTCTGAAATGTACAAGACAAGATTAAAAAATGAAAATGTAAAGTTAAA